CCTATAGTGCTCCCTCGAAAAACTGCTCAATGTTAGAGGACTGTAATATAAGGCTCTGTATCGGGTTTTTCCCCGTTTTGCATAGTCGAAGATACATTTTACTCTCTCCCGCCTGCTTTATCTTTGCTCTTTCGAAATACGCGTCAAATAAGAAGACAAGGCGCACGATTACCGTAGAAACCGATTATGTTTCGAAAACATTTTAACCGAATTTATTGTAATGGTATCCCTGTGGAGATTTTCCTCAATGCATTTGAACGTTGTCGCCATGCCGCAACCACGGAATCGTGAGACTGTTTTTGCTCCGTAGATGAGAAATTTGATTTAGAACGCAACTCGACCAACATTATGGTTACTAATAAAACGCGGCTTATTCCTGCCCAAATAAATCCAACAATGCCATTGCACTTTAGCTCAAAAGTTTGAGACTATAAGGGTAGTCAACACATAAAATCTGCATTCTCGTTATATTGCTATGCTGAAATTCTCGAAGAGCAGAGTTTTTGAAATATCCAAAAAGGCACACAAAGCGAGATGGCATCAGGTTTGAATTACCTCGTACAACGACTCCAGACAGACAAGAAATGCTCCGTGTCCGAATCTGTAAAAAAGTGGATTATAGTAAACAGTGAGACGATCGCAACTAACTAAATCACGTGCATGGTCGAAAAAGGGCCTGCTCAGTAAAAGCGGTGGGCTCGGCTGTTACGGAGAGACGAAGTCCTAGAGTAAATACTTCGATCTCGCGGGCGAAAAATGTAGAAAAAAGACCGACACTTTCAACGTAAACTGGTCAGGGCACAAGGCACGGGTTAACTTTTTTTCTGAAAACACTTCAGCCTAGTTCGGCATCTACCGACAATATCGAAAATGTTTGAACGAGCCAACATTCGTGAAAATGTGTGTAACTAAAACAATCACTACGAGATAAATCGTCCGGACATGAAACTCCAAATTCATGGAGATTGACTTGCTACTTCAATTTTAGTCAGAATTCTAACGCCATTAGGAACCTCTGTTTAAAATCTTTTTATTTTTGCCAAAGTCTGATCACACATAGGCACAATAGTGAAAAAACGACTCCAGGGTCTCAAATTCCGTAGCGCATGCATTATTTATAGCTCAAACACTGTGAAAGTACGGTTTGATGTGATACGATCCAAACGAACTAGCATATCCAAGAGAAAAGCATCTCATTTCTCTGGGCTCACAAATTTTTGAGAGGATTTTCAGGATCGTTGTTTTTTCGACGGGACCCGCGTAATTAAAAGTTGGTGAATCCACCTGAATTTCGCTTTAACAGCGGAAAAACTGATATACCTGATGGTTGCTTTTCAGTTTTTGTTTCTTTAAACGAACACGGAAACAGACGACAAGGACGAAGTCTAATTTAATTTCTTCTTGCGGATAAAGTTTGAGGTTCATATTTAAGACTGATTCGGCTGCTATTTGCAGAATACCTGAGAGGGAGAAATTTTATTGCATTTTGACAAACACTTTACTCATGAGCTCAAAAACATCCAGCTCCTGGTGTCGTAATGTGAGAGTGATATTAAAAACGACACCTACATGAGGAACGGAAACAACACAAGTCAAAAGAAGCCGCTTTGGTAAGAAGCACATGGAATGCGTTTTTGACTGAATAAGTAAACGCTGCTTGCTGCAAGAAATGGGTCTGTTAGATAAGAAGTGTTTGCTAGGGACTAGAAATTATCATTTTTCATAAGAGTATTCTAACAGCCTACTGTTGATAAGTCATCAAGTCCGAAGAGCAGTTACCTTCCGCCTTACCTATCTATTTTCCTAGATGAATTTGATAACGTCTCTGCAGAAAGCTGACTGGAAGTGATGACACAAACATAATTGAACACTGTTACAAAATTTTGCATATTTTCATCTCCATTTTGTTCTTCTGCGACTTATGAAGTGCACAGCATCTTCCTATGCAAGCGGATTTCAGATTAGGCAACAACGTCAGTTGGATCAAAAGGGCCAAACAAACTGTTAAGTGCGTTACATATATAAACGGCCGTAAAAGCAGCAATTTTTCAGGTATTTTCTCCTATAAGTAACAACTGAGAGTCTATAGTATCTTTTTTCCTTGAGAATATAGACGACCACGCCTCTGGCCATGTTCCACGCAAACGCAGCGGCTTCTGCTGAATATAGGTGTCGTTGATAAGATTTCTAAGAATTGTGCCCAACTTTTGTTCTCATCATCAAATGCTTATTACAACTCAATGAAACCAGGCAATATTGTCATGATACTGACAACAACAACAGTCCTGTTTTCAGTTTTCATTTGTTCTGGATGCCACAAACTCTTATACCTGCGAACTTTTCTAAGTTAATTAGTAGGGAGCAATTACGCCTATTTATCTCCCACGAGGCCATATTTCGCCGACCTCACTACCGGATTTTTGAAGGACGTTTTAAAAATTCGAGTTTCCGTTTGACGTTTGTGACAAAACCCGGGACAGTTTGCAGGAAAAGAGAGAACGTCTTACGCACAGATGACCTCATGGTACGCACAAACGGTGGTCTTTCCTTGAGAAAAGCAGTCATTATGACCCCAACCCTGACAATTATTCGCTTGATAAGGAAGGAAATAGCTGCCTTTACGAGGAATAACCTGGCACATGCATTTAAACACAATGGCACTTTTTAAATGGCCGGTCAATAGTCAATTGCAGCAGGGTGATAGGTACGGATCAGAGTATAGTCTAGACGCAATGTAACTCGCATCAAATCGCCTAAGTCACTTGCCTGGGCATTGAGGCTTGAGCCATGAAGAGGAGATCCATGTTACACGCAATTATGGGAAGATGACTGTCAGGGTACGTCGTCGGCTTCCGATCTGGCTTACCGTCGGTGACAAGAAGGTCAATAAGCAGCTGAAGATGCATCTCCCAGTGCGTTGGCTCGCCCAGAAGTAGGATTGCTGTAAGTTAACCAAACAATAGATTATTCCGTACTCAGTGTGGAGGGCAGTAAGTTGAAGGGGCCGTAAATCGGAAAAGTGTGAAAGACTGGAAGACCCACCTTCGATTCGCGGGAAGTCCTTGTCCTCCGTGTAGCCATTTGCCTAAAATGTTCATTTGATTAGTACGAGAGAGTCGGCAAGACGCTTAACATTATTTTCTAGGTTAATGGGGCCTAGCACTAGCATTTACAGTCTGTGGCTAAAGAGATACCGATTACTACTATGACGACAACATTCATAACATGTTTAAAGAACCCTTTTGAATAAACCTTACCGGGATATCTCACATTGCGCACATAACGAGGAGTCTGTATGAGGAAGTCGTAGCGAGAGCGCCGCTTTGTTTTTGCTGCATTGTCGGCTCTATAGTACTATCCTGACCAGAGACAGGTAATTTTTTGATCTTGCATGCTAAATGTATTCACGAGCCAGTGTCTAGATACTACGAAAATAGGCGAGAAATCGAAAAATATTGCGAGTACGCTTGCGTGAGATTGGGCATGTTTGCAGCTGCGCTATGGTAGTAATTGCAATAACTCCTGCCCGCTGAGACCGGGAATATTCAGTCACGTCGGATTGTAGTTCACCAATCCAGCCTGGTTGTATAAAGGGAGGTGGACGTTCCGTTTTTTTATTGCGGCTCTGGCTAACAGTCAACACAGTTGGGCTAGACAGCTTTCAATTTTAGCCAAATCAGATCACAGATGCTAACCAGTGGCATGTGAAGCGGCAATAGTGTCTGTGGAATGAGTTTTCGGAGTTAAAAAATAAATATCTCCTCTAATCTTCAGTAACTACACCCACTTATAAAAATGGTCAGGTTGTCCGGACAAAAAGTGGTTAAGCAACACGGTTTTACGTTATTTAATCCAAAGCTAGGTACGTGCTTTGCTCAATAGATTTGCAATCACACACAGCGAAACTCGTCTTTTACTCTAGAAAGTTGCATGTTGAGGTAGTACTTTCTCTCAACTTCCGCGCCTTATATGGAAAATCAGGTACCCAGGATCTAAATATTTTCAGAAAAAGCGAATAACTCCTACAGGCTGAACCTGAAAATACAACCACTTGAAGTAAAAGAGCAGAAGTTTTAAAAAACCGGAAAATTTATCGAGTGCTGGTGAAGGCTGCATACCCCTATAACGGCAAACATACAGTGAGTGACTGATCTCATGAAATGTTGGCTGAATTTCTGAAGTGCGTTTTCGATTAGGAAGGATTACTTGGTTGCGGTTGTAATACTGATTATCTTGCGGCATACTCTTATGACATTTCGGACTTGGCAGAATGTCGGCTTTTAAGTGCACTTCTTTCCAATCTCCTGTAGAAAGCGTACTCGGCAAAAAATGAGTACTTAGGTGGCATGGATTTTTCCCAATGATTTTCAATGGTCTTGCAAAATCAAACATAGTTTATAGAAACCATAAACACAAATATGCTTTCTTTTAGTCAATCAATAGAGAATCACGTTTTCTTTATATTTTATATTGAAGGAAGGAGTATAAATAGGTTTCAAAAACGTTTTCTAATTGCCAAATAATTTGGAGTCTGATCATTCGTTGCATTAGCGCTTAGTGATTCCAGTCTACAAGGTGCATGCGTTCCGCGTAAAGAAAATCACATATTTTTCTGCACCATTAAAGAGGTATCATACAGAGTCCATAACATTTTGCAACGGATGCGGACCATGTTGTACATTTCATGAGGAGCAGTGGTAAACGGCCAGGTACGAGGCTATGTGAATGGACATTTCGCGGTCTTAAAAAGTCCCATAATTAAAAGCGTTTTTAAAACCTAATGATACTCCTTCCCTAAGCATAAAATATAAAGAAGACGTGATTCTCTATTGATTGACTTAAAGAAAGCATATTTTTGTTTATGGTTTCTATAAAATATATTTGAATTTGCAAGACCATCGAAAATCAATGAGAAAAATGCATGCTACTTAAGTAGTCATTTTTTACCGAGCACACTTTCTACAGGAGATTGGAAAGAAGTGCATTTAAAAGCCAACATCCTGCCAAGTCCGAAATGTTATGAGTATGCCACAAGATAAGCAGTATTACATACGCGACCAAGTAATCCTTCCTAATCGAAAACGCATTTCAGAATTTCGGCCAACATTTCATGAGATCGGTCACTCACTGTATATCTTCAGTAGGTGACAGAGACAGAAACATTGAACCAGACTTCGAGTAGATTCTGATTGTCATATCGTATGTTATAATGGTGCCTATTTCTCGGGACCAACAGGAAGGCAAGTAACTGAGCTGTTATTGTTTTTGTTCTAAATAGATTACGCAAGAAAATACAAACGACGTCTCTCAAGTCTGAGCTCACACAAGCATGTACTCTGAAATAAGAATACACATCTGGACATTGGAATAAGAAACCATCCTGTTGCAGGTGACCTTGTGATGAATTCCATGGCTACATATTTCCATTTCCTAACTAGTCCTAACCCTCCTAATCCGCAGCCTAACACTAGCACCAGAACCCCTTTGAATATGGCCCAAAGCCACCTGTAATACGAGGAGTATTCATTTTCGCGTCCTCCCAGCTACATAATTGATGCAATAGTTGTGAATGTATTCTTTCTGCTCTTTTCCTGAGATAAAATTCACCTAGTGGTTCCGAAATGCAGCGACCTTAGGTCTGAATTTCAGTGAAATCAATGGGCCTTAGTTTCCAAGGACTCGCAAATTAATACTACACCTAATTAACTTCACGGTCGCTGTATCGTCAAAAAAGAAGCTGGGCGCAAGAATTTTTATTTGTGCGATATCCTGAGTAATCAGCCAGTGATACCGGACGCCCATGTCGGATGCCATGGAACCGAATTTGACTTAGTTGGTAATAGTGCACTTTTGAGTTGACTGATCCCTCGCTTTAGCTACGAGCTGGTGTGAGCGTAGACCGCTTAACTTGTAACCGACAATTAAACCATTCAAAAAGTCCAACGATACATAATATATTGTTCTATCAAAAGCGTACATCCCGAATTTTCCTTAAAAATATATGCCAGTCGAGGAATGCACAGCCCGAAATTCAGAAAATTTTGACAATTTCCGTATTTGAGCTCCAACTTTCCCAAATTAAGGCATTCTAATTAAAATGTATCCTATCAGCTACTGCCCCAAGGGAACGCTTGATCGATGTTGAAGTTACTCCGTGAAAAGAATGCAACATGAGAGCAGCCTTTTTCAACCGATAAAGTTGTCAAGAGAAAACAGTTAATGGCTAAATGTCGACCGCTTACAACAGCCTTCCTGTTTTCATGATCAACCATGTCAAGAAGCGGGTAGGCCTTGGCCACCTGGTCCATTGTGTAGACATCCGTGAAACCCAAATCACTCGCCCATTCCGTAACATTACCTTGACCCAGGACGAGGACTTTGTGGTTGTGCCACTGAGCAAACGATTTGAGGGGGCTGGGAGCGAATATGATTTGCTCCGGTTCTAACTGTGTTTACAAGAGAAAAGTAAAAGACTCAGGAAAAAAATTTTTCTGAGAAGTCAAAGCATAATCGGACAAACCACTGAAAGACGATTAAGTTGAATACAAACAAATTTAGTAAGATGACAACCTATCTTTCAGCTTACTCTTTTATATCCTTAACACTGATTAACCCTTCTAATCACTAACAAATTTTGAGTCCAAATACTAGTTTCCTCATCGTATCGCAATCTAAGTGAAACAAACCGACCCACTGTAATGCAAATATTTCCAGCTCTCAGTATTGGAGGGAAGACGGGTTGAAACAAAACTTAGAGCTCTGATAGGAGGATAAAGTCCTGCTTGGCGACTTTGACTGGAATAGAAACATCGTTTAGCTGCATCGTGAATTATGGCATGGTAGTTCCAGGCGGTAAGGATAGGGTATGTAACCCTCCCCCTGGGTGATTCTTCAGTCACGCGCCTTATCATATCTAGGTAGGTGTGATGTGTTCCCAAGGAACAACGGAGCGAGTGAGTTTTGTTACACGATCGGTGAGCGCCCCTCTATCATTATTAATATACCCCATCGTAACCGATAAAACAACGAGCCCTGGCTCAGTGACCAGGAAACTGGACTTTTAACCAACAGGTCGTGTAGGATTCTTGGTAAATTGCGTCACGCTTATAAGCCAAACAGATTTCGGTGTTTATACGTTATTATTGATAGAATAAGGTAATAATAAAAAACGGACAGACCTCAACAATGGATACCCAAGAAAAAGAATTCCTTTGTTACTGTTCGAGCAAATCGAATTCCCAGCTCAAGGTCAGAATACAAAAACTAGTTAATTAAAAGAACACCGACGAAGCTAAAAAGAGTGTTACAAAAAGGAGGAAGGGGGAATGTCAACAGGGGCTAAATGTGGAAGCACTTGCGAAGAAGGCGTGAAGAATTTTAAGCGTTGACCAGCTGGATACAACACGTCGCGAGATCAAGCCCCAGGGTTTGCACACCTCGAGGTTAAGTATAGTTGGATAACGACGCCTAATAAACCAGAAATTTGCACTTCAGTCTCCTTCGTCTTTGCCAGTCATGCCATTCTATGGTTCATAACGGTTTGTCCGACAATGGGCCGGCGAAGGGGTCGTGTGGTACAGGGATTTTGATCTTCACTAGCATTATAGACGTCGAAATTGCCCCGATCGGACTTAAGGTTAGGGTTAGGGATACGGTTAGAGTTAGGGTTAGTACTAGCAGTTGGGTCATTCCCAGGGCCAAAGTTGTCAGACTTATGTTATAGTCCGCATTAGCGGTTGAGGCTAGGGTTGGAGTTTAGAATTAGGGTTAGGTATCTGGACTAGGGTTAAGGTTGCGGTTACGCTCGAGTTCTCATTAAATGCTTACTGGTTACGGGGTAGGGTTGCCGAGTACAGCCATGGTCATGGTTGGTGTTAGGACCATAGTCAACCACGGTGTTCTCAGGAGGTTACATAGCATACCCTTGCCCGTGATGGTCCAGCGCATCTACCGCGTGGCCAGTCTTTATTAATCTGATTGCCGCCACGTGCGTCTTGGAAAGGAGTCACTCTAATAGTGACAAGATTAATCTTGCGAGTAGCCAGCCTCGCAAATGATTACAAAAAACGGCTTGAAGATAAAATATCTATTGCGCACTTTGCGTGGTTACCACGCAGCTATTGCTGACGATGGAAAATTCGGGGGAAGATACAGAATATAAAGTGTGATAAATCACATGTGGATGGAAATGTACAAATGCGTAAACGTTTTCCTGAATCGCCAATGCACACGACCACTCGTACTATCCACAATGCCTGTGATCTGCACTTTTGGGCCTGCTTGAGAACATTTTGCCATCCAAGTTGACTTTTCTTTGCTCCGCTCTAGCCTTGGACTATACGGGGTTCAAGTCGGTGTTCTACAGCATTTTGTGCTTGATGGGTACTCCTCGTAAAGGTTCACTTCCAGTTCAACGTCTCTTTGGTTTTGAAGACCTAAATGCCACTTAGTTGCTGAAGGATAATCAAATGAGCTCTCAAAAGTGACTTCTGCGGGCAAGCTCTAACCAGCAACCAAAGATCCTGGGTCCGCCCCCTCCCCGATGGAATCTTGGACGGATTTTAAAAACCCAAACGGCTCGGTAAATAACATTTTACTTGATTTTCAATCATTGGGTCAGATAAGCAAATCCAGGCCTACATATGTGGGCTGGAGCGTGGTCCTCGTGCTATATGCGCGTTCAAGAAAGTTGATGAAACGGCTAGCCGCCACTTTAGTATGTTCAAGAACTAGAGAAAACAAGGTTCCTCGGAAGAATGAATTGTGTCAGAAAAGAACCTGAACTGAATATGACACCCAGACCTCCTCGGGGACCGTGAGGACGGTTTCGCACAAAAGTATTGTCATTTTCCGACAATTTCTTCCCATTTGCGCCACTTGTCCAGTCAGATTTCAGGCCACGGTTCTCTGATCATCAAAAATCCAAACAACGGTTTCGTAAAGGCGTTTCGTTAAGACGCGTTTGTTCACATTTCCTGTATTTTCACTTGGGAATCTCTGTCCAACTGTCCAGCACACTAGTTTAATTTGCCAGAATTGCAGCTGTCGGCGATTGAAGATTTGTCTGATGACAGATAACATTCGCCATTTCGAAAGACGCTGTGGTTCATGACCCTTCCACTGATAACCGGTCTGTCAGATCAGCACATAGTCACGCCTGAAGATTATGCCACTGCATGGTCCGTGACTTGAGTGGACTGTGACGCGGAATGCTGAAGTGACCCCGGTCACACGGGTCAACCAGTTGTCCTGACTGGTATTTCGACCGTCGTGACGGACGATGTCCACCGTGTGTTCGAAGGCATGGTGGAGGCAGGGAGGGTGACTTGCGTGTGATTTAGTCTAAAGTGATAGTAGACTTGCGCACATCTGCTGCACTCTCTCACGGTGCCAAGAAGACCGGAGGTTGGGGAGGGTGCAGGTGGCCAAGGCGGCGAGGACTCGCACCTGGGCGTACCACCACACTCCCTGGTCCACAACGTACACTGACCAGGAGTTTATACAAAATAGGCGGGGTGGGCGGCTCCGATCCCATCGGGTGGGAATGCCATAAAGATCACATTAAGAAGGAGTCATTGCAGTCTAGCTTCCACTCGAAGAGTCCGCTACTCCACAGATATACACACAGTGGGCTGACTGCGAGCTCCGAGTTATCCCACCAGTTGGCAATCTTCCAAGTCACGGCTTTTAGCGCACTTCGATAGACTGAAGCGTGTCAGATTGTTTACACTGAGCTTGTCAATCTCGCTCTCTCCAGGCACCAGTCCATTATCCGTGCTGGTCAGTTGTCTGATGGAGGGAGTAGGCACAGAAGTTGACAGAACCAGAGAACCCGTCTGCGCGCGCACATGCACAACCTGACCTCCCAAACGCACACACACATACACACACGCGACCGAATAGGCCCATGCGATGGCTGAATGTGTGAGGCAATGCGGACAATAGTCATAACTAATGACTAAACGTACGCCCTGCTGGTGGCTTAAACCCATTTGCTGACGTACCTGAGGGCACTTTCGTTGCTTGGGTTGCACAGAAATTATATAATTTCTGACCAGGGATACTCCAGCAGCTCAGGCCAACTTACCTGTATGTTGAAGCTGGTCTCCAGGTGTTTAGTCTTTGCCTCCGGTGGGGACATGGAGTTTGTAACAAAGGCAATCGGCACGCGTAACTTTCCATCCTTGCCTTTGAGCAAGTCCATTGCAACCTTTGCTTCGGGAATCGGAGTTGAACCGCGCATCAACACACCGTCAATGTCAAAGAGTAGACCAAAGTTCGGCTGTAGGCAAGGTGAGTGATATTTTGTCAACAAAATAAACATTTCATTTGTTAACTGGCACAAAGGGAAGATTTGCGCATGCTCGCGCTATTCTTCAAATAAATGGCCGGGTTTCGAAAATCCGAACTTTCAGACAGAAGTCATACCCGGTTGCTTTCTTGCAATGAACAAAGCCATTGACAAACTACTCGGAGAAACTATATTAACTTTATACACGAATAGGGTTAATTTAGGCTGCCTTCTTTAGAACCCGGCAGAAGGTTTCCAGGTCATTCAGCAAGGTATTTTTGGAAATATTTATAATTAAATTGGTCGAAGTGGATCAAAAAAGAGTGGAGACGACGAGGTATCTTTTAAATGTAGCAACATTTGTTCGAACCCAGACTGATCAATCATTAACTTCGGCAACGTCTTCAGATATAATCTACCGCCAAACAACAGCCACTGGAAACCTTCATATCATTGTACAATTGTTTTCAAAATGTGTCATCTAACTGCCAAGTATGTTCCAAATATTTCTGCTAGGAGGTATGCTATTTACAACTTTCTATGTCCGGCCAGTTTTTTCGTGATCTTGATCTTTTCGGCACTTCTAGCTAGAAGGAAATTTTGAAAGGTCTTTCCAAAAATCGGCCTGTTTTGAAGCAAAGCCAGCTGGAGCCTCCCACTGCGATCACTCGCGCACGCAATTAATGTACAGGTATTGCGAATTCTTAGGCAAACAGACTTCTGTGCGAAATTCAACAGTTGGCACGCCTTATGGCCAGTGTAGCTTTCCAAATTATTGGCCGCCTGTGAAGTGACACAAACATTTTAGTCTAAACACAATGAAAAAAAGATGACTTGGACGATTTTCCAAGGAGGGTCAGGGGCCACAACAGAGATATGAACACCACGTACTACAGGCGACCTGACGTGAAATTCCAGGGGATGCCTTTCCAATGTCTCGCATTCAATCTTAATCCCCCCCCTGAAAGTTAGGAGCTGGGCATTTCCGATACGGTGGTCCGTATTCCCTTGCAAAATCAAATTTTGTAAGTCAAACGCAGACTGCTTCCGACGACGACTCTCTCCTAGAACCTGTTTGAAGTGGAACTCTGTTTTATCGCGTCGCTTCCGTTTTCAAAAATTAGTATGCTATGGCACTTCCAAGAGACTATTTTCAGATCGGTCTGTCTTAATAAAGTGGACACTGATTGATAGAAACTGTTTTAAAATAAGCCGTCATTTCTTCACAAGCTGAAAACTGGCTCAATAAAAGCTTTCACTTGGTCGACCAGATTTAAAAGATTGTTTCCACAGATTTGCAAGTTATCTGGATTTTATCTAAATGGTCGCCCTAGGAAAAGTCAATCAAAACACATACAGTAGGTAGGCTAACTCATGAAATGCCAACCGAAATTCCGAAATGCGTTTTCGTTTCGAAAAGATTAATCAAGTAGGGTTATAGAACTAATAAGCCTGCAGTATAATTATATAACAGTTCAGTTACCTCAGGAGGCTGACTTTCGAAAGATGCGGAACTAGGACGTACATGCCAATCTTCGTTTTGAGATAACTGATGCCCTACCCTTAACCCCACCTCCCCGACAAAATTTAGACAAGGCAATCCGCAATATGAAGGATTACATTCCTGTGCTCAACTGAAACAAATTTAAAAGAAACTCAGAATGATGATCTCGCCGAAATAGTAGCGAATACGTAGCATAAAGCAGGACGAAGTGAAGAAGGGGAGCTCCCAGGCCTAGAAATAAGACAATGTCACTATGCGTAATGTATACAGGCGTCGCCGATTCATGTGTTTAAACTTCTACCTCATAGCCTACAATAGTAAAGCTGTTTCCTGCTCAGGAGAAGGCAGCACAAACAAGTTTGTCCCAAAAGTTGTAAATACATGGTCAGCGACGGCTTATATGAAGTTCTTGGTTTGGAAAAAATTGTTGCTAAGACACGAGAACAGGCACCCTCCCCAGAGCACGAGTTGTCTTACGCTATATCCCAGGGAGTATCTATTCCAACCTCCGAACCCTAACACTAACCCTAAACTTGCCCCTAAGCTTAACCATTACCCCAGACTCAACCTTGGGATTTAGCACAAGGTCACTTTTATTATGGGGGGGGGGACTTCCTATTCTCGTGTCCCACCAAATGGTCCATAAAAAGCCTTGTAATCTTAGTAAAACGAGTTATATACGAATACAAAGATGCCCATATAAACGAATGGGCAGGTCGACAACGAATTACTGTAATGTCAGATGCATAGTTGCCGTCATTTCCTTTAAAATATCTTAGGAACATGTTAATATGGGACAGAGCAGTCTAATAAGTTGCATTTGAGCAAGGCAAAGATAATGAAATATGCAGTATTTAATGACTTCATGAGACTTCGTATTGATTCTAGGAAGAAAAGGTTCTTCTTATACAAAGTCACATGCAGAAAAGTTGCTAGACCCTGTGGAGTTGGCGTGCATCAACATCGTTCGTTAACAGGGTAGAAGATGGGAGCCCTGTGCTATGCCTGGAGCCCAGATAGATCTGGTGTTGCCGCCTAATCCCTTAAAAACCAAAGCGCCAGACACGCATAGAGATAATAGCTTTTAATCTTAGTAGTTTCGGTCATTTGGAAATACTTTACTAGGACTGAAAGACGCCTATCTGATAGTTAAAGGAAAAAACATGAAATAAATCTGCAATTTTCGGACTAACAACTTTTAAAGTACTTACAACGGAAAAAATACATAGGCACTGAGGAATTGGCATCCCTAACCTCAACAACAATATTGCAGAAAAGAGCCAGACGAGCTGGAAATTCAAAAATGACAGCATAACACGTCTACCAGTAATGCAAAATGCTCGTCTTTCCTAACCGCCAACTGAGAGAAAATATCAAAGTACTCATTTGTAAGTCCCGTGGCTTTACGGAAAACAGGTATTGCCTTCAACATTAATTTAAAGACATTTTCGTAGCTACAATTACAGGCCTCTGAATACTTTCGTTGCCCTATCAAATGACGCCAATACCAAAAGCTTACCTGTTTGACCTTGTTTCAAAACGTAAAACCTATTTCAATAGTAACTTTGTCACTTTCAACGTTTTTCGGCTTTGAAAGCGTATTTGCTTAAATAATCAAGTGTCCGACTTTGCTGCCTGTCGGATCCACTACCTTGAATTTTATGTGATGACTGCAAAATCAGGGCCTTTTGGTGAGATAACTTCAACGCTGAAACACTCCCCAGGTAAATCTACTACGGTAGGACTTTTAGGCGATGCACAATAAACACATCACACTTCTTCGACGCACTTACAGCCTGTCTTTAGTACCACAGAACGAAAATGCAAACTCATCATTGGAAATTTTGTGTTAACAAGTAATTCGACACTTATTGCTAGATTAGAGAGCAGGTACCATAAACTGCATGGAAATTCGTGTTAAATTTCAGTCTGTTTCAGCCCAGAAAACTTTATTTTTACCCAGACGTCTCTGTGTCCACTAGTAAAGGTGTTAGTAAAAGTAAAACTCTGCAATATGTCTTAAAGTTTTTACGTTAGTAAT